TCCTGCTTCATTTGCACTTTCGATGTGCTTTATTTACATCCCTATGCCGACAGAGGGGTGTAGTGTAGACCTAGCCATGGTGTGGTTATATCCTACCTCTTCGGGGAGGAAGGCTACCTTTTGCCATTATTTCCTAATGTCCTAGTTACTCACAGCTGGCATGCTAAGCCTTTGTGTCATGCTAAGCACCACACTTCACAGGGAGCGTGGGAGGTCTGTTTATGCAGTATTCCTGCAGCTCTTCTATAAGCAGCTGTCCTCAAGGGGCTTGTTTGCCCTCATCTCCACAATAGGCACAATGTCCTTTTACTAAGGAGCAAAAGTGGAAGGTGCCCAGTTCTTTTCCCTGCCGCCCAGTTGTGATGGTCAGCTATTCCTGCTTTTGGATGGAAGTGTCCCAGAGGGATTTTAACCTTTCTCACACATTCACCTGCACTCATACAGCTTGTCTTGCACAGCCCAGACTTTATTTGGTGAAAGTGGTACCAAATTTTGGATAACTTCAAGAGGGCGCCCTGCACTCATACAGCTTGTCTTGCACAGCCCAGACTTTATTCGGTGAAAGAGGGCTTGGTAGCTGGAGAAAGCACTCGGGCAAAACACCTTCTCCTGAAGCTGGGAATAAGGCAGGCCTAGGACAATCACAAACTCAGGGCTGAGAACTGCTACCTCTACAGCTGTCACTGAACCCTTTTTACAACACTCCAAGTTGTAAGAGATGGAGTCTGTGCCTATGGTCCCATCTGCTGTGAAACTGGCTGCTGTCCTATCTGGGTCCCTGTGCCACATTTCCACTGGCGGGCTCTCTACTGATACCTTGGTTTGCAACGCTACAAAGGTCGTGCAAGGAGAGAGGAGGAAAAATGAAAGGCTACAAAAGTGTAACAGCAGCCAGTTGTTGCCTGCACTTAGCTTGGCTGGCTCCGCAGCCTACACTGAATACCCTGTGGGGCAATGGGACAGAGGAAAGCTTAAGTCATTCTTTGAGCATCTCTCAGTGCAAGCTGTTGGGAAGGACAGATACTCCTGCCCTCGGGCTGTCTGCTCCAACTCTGTATACAGCTAGTGGGTGCGGGAGGCACCTCTACTGTTGCTCTGGGGATGTTTTTCTGGCTGATGACAAAGTCCACAGAAGGATTGCTCTGTTTATACAGGTCCTACACTGAACCTAGGGCCTCTCTTACCACCGCCTTCCCTCCCCTCCAAGTCCAAGTGGGGACACAGTGGGCCCCATACCTCATCACTTGACTTGCTAGATTCTCTTCTTGAGGCAAGGATAAAAGGGAAACTTAAGCGACTCTTACGCAGCAAGAGATAATCTTAAATTTGTTTTTATTGTAGACCAAGTGACCTGTTTAAAAGAGGAGTCTTAATTACAAAATTAATCTGATTGTGGCAGCAAAGCCTGAGTCCTCATGGAGAAATAACCTTGCCCCATAAATGCTTTCAAACTAGGTCCCAGTCTGCATCAGCTCCCCTGCTCTAATGTATAGTCACCTTTCCCTGGGTGGCTTTTATGGCACTCTACAAATCTGAACGGTAACGCATTTTATGCTGCCTTGTTAGACAGCAGTTACCATAAAAGAGATGTGCCTGGCTTCTCTAGTTAAAAATGAAACTGCTAGAAACTACAGGCTTGCTGACAGTGCTCAAGTGCACAGCAGGCACCTTTTGAATGGGCAGGAAGTGCAACTGGTCCTTCATTTGCTTTAATTGGAAAACATAATGTAGAGTTTATCACAAGTACCTGGCTGGTTTTGTATAGCTTGGGCTATGCCCCGCTTCCCATTGCTGACTAGGGAGTGGAGAGGCCCTAGGGAATGCAAAATGGCTGTTACAGCAGGTGCTAACCCTTTTCCTTGCAGAGAAAACCTCAAAAAACCTAAACAGCTGGAAATCGGTGTTATCAGCTTGCTGAAGTGGAAAGGGAACAGCAGCTGCATCTACTTCTGCAGGTAGGGGAGAGGGCTGAGAGATGAGAGCAGTGGTGGATAAGGTCTGGCCCATCCCAGTTGTATGTGTGGCCTGCAAGCCCATTGTTTACCACTGCCCATGCACAGAGTTGCCTGATTCTGCTGGTTTCCATCCACATAGTTTTTTCCTATTGGTATCTCAAAAGTGACACACATTAAAAAAAGGGCACGTGAAGTGAGGAGCGTGCTGATTGCCCAGCATTGACTGAGAGAGCTGCAGCCAATTGGAGCACTGCTCTGGTTCCATTGACAAATGCTGTGAGCAAAACTAACCTATGGGGAAAGACCATCTTGATTTGTGACACTCTTGAGGTCCACTGGGAGCCAAGGTTGTCCGTTACTGGGCTAGAGATGAGCAAAACTAACCTATGGGGAAAGACCGTCTTGATTTATGACACTCTTGAGGTCCACTGGGAGGAAGAAGTGGCCTACTCACGAGCCAAGGTTAGCCGTTACTGGGCTAGAGAGTCTCCCAAATGCCCCAGGCTGGCCCTGCAGCTTGCAGCGCACTAACAAACAGCTATCCCTTATGTTGCATGGGGACGATCACCTACTGAAAGACTGTTGCAGTTTGGTCCAAAATGACCAAGGCCAGCTCCGCTAGCAGTGAGTCAGTACCCAGCTTTTTAAAGCACAGGCATTTCCCGTTGTATCAACAGTACCTCCTACTACAGCAGGCAGCCATCTGCGTGTGTCTTGGTGTGCACACACAAAGCCTGGCTCAGAGCCCTGTTGCAAAGTGCCTGCACCATCCAGTTAGCATCTGCTAGTCCACATATTCCCTTCCATGGCCAAACCACATGCCGCCGTCTGTCACATTCATCCAGCTTGGAGGGGCCCCTGGCATTCTGAAATATTCTTCCACTAATGAGGAGCTAAGCCCACACCCTGCTACCCCTGCCCTTTTGCTATCAGCATAGGCCTAGCTGGGATGGAGAAAATAGGTTGCTTTTCTTCCTGTTACTACATTCCACTGCCAACAAGCAAATACAATAATTCTCTAGCACAACTTAGTGTGACATACAGCAACAGGGTTTCCTTTCAGACAATGGAGTGCAACCAGATGTGGGTGTGGGGCCTTACTGCAAGTGACAGGCTCCTAACCTGGCAGCGTGTTAGTAGCTAAAAGGCTGTTGGTCAGGGAGACTTCCAAGTATGCATGGACCTGCCTTTATTTGAAAAATCCTGGAAGGTGGGACAGCTAGCAAAGGAAGAGAGCCTGGCTCCATCCAGCAGGAACAGCCAAGGCAGTTGCTGGGTTACCCTGGTGCTAACATGAAATGATTTTCAGCTGGACAAGATTGTGGGCACACAAGCATTTCTGAGCCCCCATCAAGCAATGAACCAGGCAGTGTAGGGGCTTGCTTTCTCAGTTAGCAAAGCTCTGTACAGTTAGCGCGGGTGCTTTTCTGACAGTGTGAACACGGCATAATCAGTGGAGAACATTTTAAGTTTCCAGCCTGTTCTGTGACTTAACTGAAGAGGCAGGCTGGACTTAGCAGCAGTTGGGGAACCCTGTTTAGTTTCTGCTCCACCAGTGCTGTAATGGACAGTCTCTTTCCTCAGTATCTAGCACTAGGGCAGTGCTAATATTCAGCCTCACCCAGGCTGGGATTCTGTGATGATCGAGCTCCTGTTTGCAGGGCATGTGGAAGATGTAAACAGGACTAATAATATTCAGGTCTGAGTGATATTGTCCACATTTTACAGACTAGGAAACTAAAGCTTGTTCTACTACACCAGGGCTGCATCTAGACTGGCAAGTTTTTCCGCAAAAGCAGTTGCTTTTGCACAAAAACTTGCCAGCTGTCTACACTGGCCGCTTGATTTTGCACAAAAGCACTGATGTTCTACTGTCCGAAATCAGTGCTTCTTGCGCAAATGCTTTGATGTTCCCGTTCGGGCAAAAGCCCTTTTCCAGAAATGTTTTTGCGCAAGAGGGCCAGTGTAGACAGCTAAAAACTGTTTCGTGCAAAAAATCCCTGATGGCAAAAATGGCGATCGGGGCTTTCTTGTGCAAAACCGCATCTAGACTGGCATAGACGCTTTTCCGCAAAAAGTGCTTTTGCGGAAAAGCGTCAGTGCCAATCTAGATGCTCTTTTCCGCAAATGCTTTTAATGGAAAAACTTTCCCGTTAAAAGCATTTGTGGAAAATCATGCCAGTCTAGACATAGCCCAGTGGTTTTCAATTTATTTCCCGTTGCAGTCTGCTGATGCAGCTCTCTGTGTTATATGAGCCATATTTACACACAGAACCTTTATGCTACAAGAACGGCCCGGAGGGTGTCACATGTGCCACAAGCTGTGCTGAATGGGGCGTGGGTTGAGATCTACTAGTCTACACTTAAAAATCAGATCAACCTAACTACATTGTTTGTGGCTATGACACACCTTGAGTACTGCAGTTAGGTTGGCCTAGGCCTTTCTATTGATGTTGCAGAATTCTTCCATCCACTTGCCTGTTGGGAGAGGTGGATTAACACCACTAACAGAAAAAGCCCCACCTCTCAGTGCAGGAAGCATCTACAGGGCTGCAGCTCCATAGCAGCGTCACTATAGCAGGGCTAGTGCAGACATAGCCTCTAGCAGCTCCTGGGCACGGGCAGAGGCAGCATTGAAATTCAGGTGTTTCTAAGTCCCAGGGCCCTGCTCTGGCTCCAGGACAAGGCTGCCTCCTGAAGGAGCCAATATTTTCACAACTCATTCACTTCCAGTTCTGCTGATTGATAGAATGAAAATTCAAAGTGAAGGAAATGGCCATGGAACATGTGATTGCTTCTATCGCATCTCCACGGAGATTCGCGCGTGACAGGAACATCCTTGGTCAGCTCTATAGCCCTACTGCAAATGTAGGAGAAAGGACTTCTTCAATGAGCTGCTACTACTCTAGTAGGGATCAAAACCAAGTTTAAGTCCTGAGAGTTAGCGGATGCCCACAGGAGCCATGTTCTGCAATCCAGGGAAGGGTCTCAAAGCACTTTACAGTCAGAAATGAATCAACCCTCATCTCACGCCTGGGAGGTAGGTAACCATTCTCCCTGGTTGAGAGAGAGGAAAATCAAGGCACAAAGAGGTCAAGTGTAGATCATTAGCTGTGCTGTAAGCAAGGAAAACGCCCGCCCCATGAAATGTTGGCACACCCATGGGAGTCACTCCTGGACAGAGAGAAACATGTACCCAATAGGAGGCTTGATAACACCAATGCTGGTCCCCTCACAGGTCAAACGGATTGAAGCCCTTCTCCTGGGGGTGCTGTCTGACCAAGTTCCAGGGTTGCTCCAGGTACATTGTGGGATAGAGGTACCACATGACTACTCCCGAGGGGTTAACAATGACAGTGAAGTTCTCTTCAGCCTTCAGGCCACTGATGATCCCGCCGCTGTACACGTCCTGGGCCTGGAAGAGACATGGTTGTTTCCATGGCGTGTCTCATCCCAAAGTACTTTAAACCCCATTTACATACTGGGATCTCTCATCTGCCTTGGAAGTGTAGCTCCTTCCCCACCCCCACCCCTGCAGGCCAAATAAGCAAGTGTACAGCAGGGCACAGTAACGCTACGCAACAAGGGCAGACCACTGTATCCAGCCCAGAGGGATTTTGATCAGAGGCTGCAGGAGTGGGAACGGTTCCAGTTAAAAACCCCCAAGAACCAGACTGATCCCAGAAAACCCAAGACACAATAACAACCTCCCCACCATCCCTACTAGAAATCTCTTGTTCACACCCTGAGCAAGCCTGATCCACTGTAGCTGGGGAGAGCCAGGGGACGACAGCCTACCTGCAACCACACTGCCAAACAAAGTTCCTGGGCCAGGCTGGTCAGTGATTTGGTCTGATCACTGCCTCCACCCCCCAGCACCATCTTGGAGAGAGAACTGGGGCAGGAGCTTTCCACACCAGAAAGGACCCAGTTGCCTGCGTTCAGGACAGCAGCATTCAGAGTCCACACTAATCCCTGGAATGCCTGTTGGGGAGGGGCAGGCCCCATTCCCAGTGGGTGGATGTAACTGGGGCTGGGGGCTTGGCAGCTTGTGGTCTCCACCAGTGCTACGTGTTGTGTGAGGCTGAGGGGTCAGGCAAACACTACATTCAGGGGCACATTGCAGGGCACATTGCAGGAGGGGAACTCTGCACCTCAGTGCATTGTGTGTGAATGTGGCGTCTGCACTCCCCACTCTAAGGGGCCTGCATGGCAAGGGCATTTGGAATGGGCCCTGCTGGGCTTTCCTGTCTCACCTCGTACACGGCGCTGGCGGAGAAGTTGAGCTTGCTGAGGGAGGTGGTGTAGCGGTACGGCATGTCTGTCCGCCGGCTGAAGAAAACCAGGGCGCTGGCTGAGTGGGAAAGCGGGCGCAGGAATACCTCAATCCGAGCCTTCTCCTAGAGAGAAAGAGGGTATCTAGGTGCATCTCCAGTTTCTCTGCACTTCTCCCTGCACCTGCCACCCGCTCCCACAAATGCTCACCAGCTCTCGGGATGGCTCATGACTCTGCCCTGGCAGGGGCCTAGGAGCAGGGCTGATCGAGTCTCTGTGTCGGGCAGGAGGTGCCCAGCACCTACACATCGGGCATCAGCAGGAGGGAGTGAACTGGGATTATCTGACGGCCTCTCTTTCACTGCCAGAGGGTCCCAGAAACCCAAGATTAACCCTCTCCAAACCAAGTGACAAACGGGGAATGGGAGGACAAACAAAGCAGCCGAGTCCGGCAGGGAAGGAATGGAGGAGGGGAATACTAGAGCTGTTAATAACAAGCGTGTCTTAGTTCAATCCTGCCGGGGGGGAAACGGGACCTCCTCTTTCCTTATGGAGGCCTCCCCCAATATTGTGCTAATTCCAAAAATCCCCAGCCATTCCCAGGCTCGGCTCTCCTTCTCCCCTGCTACCCAGCCAGTACCTCTCAGCAGCTGTTCTCCCATCCACTCCCCTCTCCCAGGCCCCTATGCTGTTGTATTCCCACACGCTTCCTTCTATACCTGAAGGACCCTGCGTCCTTGGATTCCCAAGGGGTCCTGGTTGATTTTGATCATCAGTTGGTTCTGCAGGATCTCCCTGGAGCTGCGGGAGAGGGTGCGCAGGTCGGTGGACATGAAGAGTGGGGCCGCTAGCATTGTCCACAAAGCCATCTGGGATCGGGACTGTTCATAGCTGAGGCCAAAGTTTCCAATGATCAGCTGTGGCACAGAAGGGGAGCAGCGGGTGGGGCAGAGAGAGCGGAAGAGCAGAAGGACAAATTAACAAGACAAATGCTGCAGTCAGTGCAGGGCCCAGCCATGGAGAATGATCACTGGATTCCTGGCTAGCAACTAACACGACCATAAAGGTGTCCAGCCACATCCATGCTCACGGATGTTAAATACTCATTAATTGAAATACTAATACGTTTAAACCCCACACACACCTTGCCCCTCTGCTAGGGCCTTTCATGCTGAACGAGGGATGCTGACCAGGATGGAGGAGGGGTTAGGCAGCTGTGGCAGTCTACGGAACTCTAGGCCTGTACGGTGTTCGAAGAGTTCATGAACTGCCGCCAACCTTTCTCCACCCTGCTTCTAGACAGGAAATCCCTGGTGATCCTTCCCTCCACCATCAACAGCCCAAAGTTACCATGTCTGGGTCATTCCAATGGCCAGGGCCGGACACCGGCTGCAGCACATCCTGGTTCGCTGAAAACCAGTCCACAATGGAGAGGATGCTGTTCCACGAGTCTTGAATATCACCATAGTTACGCCAGAGGTTACAGATGTTTGCCAGAAGGGTGTAATTCACCTGGAAGAGAACAAGATGGTTGAAGGGGGCAGTTGAGGGAGGAGAGAAAGAGGATGTACGCGCAGAATTGAGGAGTCATCCTTTGTCATGGGGACGGTTGAGAAAGACGCATGGAAAAAAGGAGGGGGAAAAATACCAGTACTCCTCCCCTGCATACACTGTACATTCCATCGCTAGTTCAGAGGCTGACAGCAAGACTCACTGGGAACACTGGGCTCAGATTTAAGACAGTCTTGATGGATGAGTGGGAATTCAGAGAAGTGCAGTACAAGGGGTACGTCTAGACTACAGGCTTTTGTTGACAGAAGTTTTGTCGACAGATACTGTCGACAAAACTTCTGTCGACAAAGAGCGTCTACACTACATTCAGTTTTGTCGACAAAGCAAGCTGCTTTGTCGACATGGTAGTGTAGATGCAAAGGACAGTTTATATGCAATAACACCTTCTGTCGACAGAAACTCTGTCGACAGAAGGCGTTATGCCTCGTAAAATGAGGTTTACCAGCGTCGACAGAACTCAGCGGTAGTGTAGACGCAGGTATAGTTTTGTCAACAAAAGTCCACTTTTGTCGGCAAAACTCTGTAGTCTAGACACACCCAAGGTGACTCCAGGGCCAGGGGCCTGATTTGTGGGTACAGGTGAATGGCCTAGCTAACCAGCTAGAGGCAAGTGGGGGTGGGGGAGGACACAGTGGCTATCCTTGAGAACTGGTGACACAAAGGCCTAGAACGCGGTGGGGCAGAGGTGGAAGGGGAGCGAGCTAAGGGAAAACTCATGCTCCACTGTGGAGGAGTCCCCCGGGGAAGGCCAATCATTGGAGTCCTTTAAAACTGGACAGTGCCCTGAAGAACACATGGTAGGGAATGAATCTGGGCTGGCTGGGATAGGGATGGAAAAAGGTGTCCCACAGGCCTCTGCTCTACATTTAGCTCCAGTGATTCTCCTGTAGATGTTGCCACTTTTCAGGAGCGTCCTTTTTCACTAACACCACAGATTGGTACCACTGCCCTTCCTCTCCCACCCCAACCTGACATCCTTCCACAGGGATCCACACCCGGTCTGCCAGCCCATGTTCCCTTTCGGAGAGCAATGCCGACACGGCCATCACAGCAACTGGAGCAGAGGGCAGGGAGGAAACGAAGATGTTACGAATTCAGACAACGCTACATAAAAGCTCCCCCCAGGACAGTCAGTACAGGACACTCGGGGCATGTCGAGACGACGTTTTATTTTCGAAAGAGAATATGCAAATTCTGTGGAAATTTGCATATCTTCTTCCAATTGCTTTTTTGAAAGCGGGTCTTTCGAAAGTGAAAGTAGATTGGTCACGTTTTTTTCCGGGAAAAAAAAACAAACAAACAAAACCTTTTTCGAAAAACCACTCTTCCTTAAAAAAGGAGGTTAACGTGGTTTTTCGAAAAAGGGTTTTTTTTTTTTAAAAAAAACCCTGCATCCAGACTACTTTCACTTTCGAAAGACCCGGTTTGGAAAAAGCAATCGGAAGAAGATATGCAAATTCCACAGGAATTTGTATATCCTCCTTTGTCAATAAAATGTACTCTAGACGTGTTGTTGGAGGAAAACTAAAGGAAGCTTCCAGTGAGCCTTACCTTAGGTGGAAGTCCTCCCCGATAGGCTGGCCAGCTGCAGGAATAGGCAATGGGACGACCTGTTGCATTTAAGGCCATTGCCATCTTAGGGTAGCCTGTGAGACAAGAAATCCAGTTGGTTAAGGAGATGACTGGCACTAGTGACAGAACTAGAAAGAAAGCAGCATGGGGTGGGGGAGGAAAGGAAAATAATAGAAGCTGCCTTCCTTAAGACTCAAAAATTTGAAGGCTTCTCTACCTATACTCATGAGGCTGAAACCCCACTTCCCCCACCAACACTGCCAAAACACAGAGTAGCCCACCAAAACCCAGATCCATCAGACAAGCCACTCTCTGGCCACCTATAGGATTTCTGGAGAAAAACTGATCTGCCTTATGGCCAATCTCCCTTCCCACTCCCCACTTCCCCAGACAGCCTCCTAGGCATGTGCAAGGCTAGTTTCTGAAAGCTCTGTAGCCCCAGTATGAAGCAAGCATCTTGAATACCTGCTAAAATCCCAACTAGGGACTTAGCTCGGAGATGAAGGTCCAGAATGGGAGGCACAAGGAAATGAACCTAACACAATGTAGGTTCCTGCCCGTTAGCAGAGGTGTTCTCGGCCTTTTACCAAGCCACCGGTCCCCATTCAACACATCCCTCTTGAAACATGCCTCCAGGGTCGTCAGAGACCACCCCAGAGTCCCTGGCATATCAAGGGAAGCACCATGAGAATCAGCCTATTGGTTCTGGAGATGGGGATTAGGAATTGAGATGGCAGTCCCATTGCCCCGATACATGCAGAAGCCCCCGTCTGGGGTGGCCCACAGGCTGCGAGATGTCCTCCCAGTTTCTGACACTGAGGACAGGGACAGAGTGGTGTGGGTCTCAGTCCACTCAGGCCGGGAGACACAGTCTTCACCTTGGGCCTGAACTTCTTCCGATGAGTAGCAGCCATCCAGCTTGAGCATGTCTACACCCCACTCTGCGAAGGTCTGAGCATCCTGTTTGATCCGGTCCAGCGTGGTGCCTGGGTAGCCCCCGCAAGTGTACGTGCCCAGGTCTCCATAGATGCCTAACTTCAGCCCCCGGGAGTGTGCCTGTGTGAAGTAAAGGGCTGTAAGAGCGCGTCCGCTTCCCTGGCTGCTACTCAGGGAGGTATGTGTTGGGGGGGAGGAAATGTGTCAGAGTGGACAAAGCTTCAGCATCGCTAACTGCTCTAGAGCATCACCTCCCACATCTCACAGGTCATGGGCCTCAAAGCCACAAGTGGCTGAAATACTGAGAACCCTCTATGCTCCCCATGGTCCCTTCCCTCTCGGGATCTGGCCTTTACATCAAAAGGATCCGCTCACATAATCCGCCAAGGCTTTGATCCCGTGGGGAAACCTCTCAGGATCTGCGATCAGTTGCCCTGCTGCATCCCGCTTCTTCGCCATCCAGCAATCGTCTATGTTCACGTACACGTAGCCCAGCTCCTTCCAGCCATCGTCCGCTAGACGATCTACCATGTCAACGAAGAGCTTCTCACTGCCCCGAGGATGAGGAGAGAAAGAACAGGTGCAGAGCAAGCAGAGGTAACAAAACAAACAAACCCACTAATAACCGCACTTAACACCTGCTCCTCTTTTTCCCCAAAGGCTGCAGCACAAACCGTTCACACACAACGGGTCATTCAACCGTTAACCAAGATGGAAAAGGCCTGTTGGTTATATCTTCCCCTGGCACTGCAGGGGTCTGGTCTCCACAGCAGAGTCTTAAAGCCTTTCTCCAGTCCAGTTTTAAAGGACTCCAGCAATGTTCACTTCCCTTGAGAGTCTATTCCCTTGTCCACCTGATCTCATCAATAAGAAATGGTTCCTGTTATGCCTCTTTACAGCTCTCAGAGCTGGAACTTCTCTGCCCTCAGTGGCTGTGGGATCTGAGCCCCTCACAAGCTGTAATGTATCGATCCTCACAACACCCCTGGGCTAGGAGAATGCTAGTCTCCCCATTTCACAGATAGGGGAGCAGAGGAAATCTGTGGTCACACAGGAAATCTGTGGGGAGCAGCAAACTGAACCCACACCTCAGACTAGTGTAAACCACTGAATTATCCTCCCTCTCTTTACTTGCCTTGCTGTTTCCTCCCTCAATTCTCGTGTGGCCAGTGCAGGCACATTTTGTCCATTTGCTCTTTCTAGTCATGCCTACCAAGCCCATCAGCAGTTTTGTTCTTTAACTGCCCTCCAGTTTCTCAATCTCTCTTGGTTACCAGGGTCCCAGAACAGCACACGGAACTGTCGGTGGGGATCTCGAGGCCTATATGGGGAGGGGCTAGTCCCCTCCCACATTGGCCATACAACCCACACCTGCAGTTTCGCAGCTCCTGGGCTCCAGCCTCAGCTACAGGGAGCCCTACCAAAAAAGCTACAATTCATACCTCCCAAAATCCCCTCACCCCATTCCCAGCCTGCTTGGAGCTAGAGACAGGGGCAGAAGGAGCTAGCTGGGGACACCAGGGACTTGAGAGGCTTCTGCATGAGGTGATCTGGGCGTGGCCAGACAGACCATTGGACCAATGACAAGGAGAGAGCCAGCAAGTGTAAATCAGGGAATCATCACTGAAGTCCCATTGCTCTGAAACTCTAACTGCACAGGTCAGGCTCCAGCACCATGGGGACCAATATCTAGACACAGACTGGTCCAGTCCCACACCTGCCACAAAAAGCCAGCTGAGGAATCCAGGCCAGGGAAGAGTGGCGGCACCCTCCCTACCAGGGGTGAACTAAAACCAAAGGTGACTTCACTGCCATCAGCCAGTGCCACAGCGCTGCACCACTCCATCTCCAGATGCACCACCTCAGCCCAGCATCTTCCTTGGGAAGACAGGGTTGGAGAAGTTTGAAAGTGTTTGGAGGTGGGTAAATAGCTTGTTTATCAATTAGTTAACCCAAACCCTTTCCTTCCCTAGATCCTAGCTTCCTGTTCCTACTAAAGTCACCTCCCCCTTTGTTAGGCTGTTGTTTTTGGTGTGCCGCTCTATTGCTGGGATTTGTTTTATTTACTTTCATGCCTCTGGCTTTCCATCCCTTGCCAGCTAGTAGTATGGTCACTGATTCCCCCAGGGCTGGCACTCCTGTGTAGGTGGCACAGCAAGGAGTTCCTTGAGTGGAAAAGCCGGGGGGGAATGGGAAGCCAGGCACCAACTTTCACAAGGAGAATGGACAAGCTTCAAATACTGATGATGGGTGGGAGGAGAAGAGGGGGAGTCTCTGTCCACCCCTCTGGGGAGCGGCTGGAGTTATGATTTGTATTATGTTCGCATCCAGAGATGGGGAGGTGCCCAGGCAGAAGAGCTCGTGGTCTGAGCTGACCTCCTGTGAGGGGGTGTCCCAGAATGACCACAGGGAGGGAGGGAACCTGTGCAAGGGTCACAGTGACAGGAACGTCCGATTCCATAGACCAGCTCAGTGTACAGAAATACATGGCTGTGGCTCATTCATATTATATATAAATCAGCAATCCCTGCGGGCCACCCCCACTGCGATATCTCTGCACACTCATCTCCAAGCCCTTTTGAAACCCTGCCTCGAGGCAAGTTCTTGTCTAATTTGCTGTCCTCTATCCTGCCCGACTGTCAGCAGGATCAAAGAGCAAGGAGGGGAATCCAGGCTGCCTTGATCATTTTACCGGGTGGAGGGGCAGGCTGATCACGTTCCAGGACTCAGGCTGGCACTCCCCTTTGGTCTTTGCTTTAACCACAGAAGGCCTTAGCGCAGAAATGAGCAGCGCTCTGATTCACCACAGTGTGTGGGCCGCGGGTGTGCTTCTGATGCTGGAGGGAAAGGAAACATTGTCCCTCCCCTTAAAATAATGTGCCTTGTTTCTATGGGGGGTGTTGAAAGGCCCGTCTGTTGAATGGAATCCCAGCAGGAGATTCCCAAATTAGATCTGACATTTCCATGAATAAAAACAGCAAACGCTGAGACGCCAGCTGGAGTACAATTAACAGGGATGTCAACCCTGTGGCTTCAGGTCACAGTGGAACTCTCCAATCCCCCTCCAGCCAGGGTCAAGAAGTGTATCTCTAGGATGTGACACGGCACAACTGAGGGTGTTATGACAATTTAAGTCTTCCTCTGAAACATGAGACGTCAGTGCTGCTAGTGGTGGGAGGCAGAGACAGAGCACACCGACCCAGCGCAGCCATTTCCTCCTTCCGTCTATCGCTTTCGCAATGTTTTAAAAAGACTCTTCTCGGCCTGGAGACGTGATGGTGTAGGGGGCTAGTGATCTTTGCCTCACATCTGACTTGAGTCTTGCATGAAAGGAGTCTAGTTTTCTCACCTCAGACGATGCCACAACACAACCCCTCTGCAGCCACCTCCTTCACTCCCCAGATGTTTCTGCTCCATCCACACCTTTTATTTTTCCCAGCTGCCAAATGGCTTGGGGGAAGAGAGGGGGGGAGAGACAAAGGTGGGGACTGAGTGAGGGAGAGGAGGGGACAGAGAGGGACAGACTCTGCCTAAGTGTCCCTGAATAGGGGGGAAGAGATGAAGTGGAAATGGCTCAGCCCAAGGTTCAAAGTCCCCCTTCTGCCTGTGCTCTCCAGAAAAGCCAAAAGCTATTCAAACAGAGCACTACGGAAAGGTGATGCTCTTGCTATCGACACACCAAGGGAACGCAGGGGAATGCCTCATGGTGCCCTCGGCTGCAGGGTGAGCCAAAAGTGGGAGCCATTTTGCCCTGTCTCCCTCCTCCCCCTTCATCTCCAGAGGCAGCCCCCAGTGCTGCCTCGCTCACCTGATGCAGTTGTCAGGGTCGGTCTTGCAGTCGATGTTGCAGCGAAATCTCTCCCATGCCAGCCAGCCCATCGGGGGCGTCCGCATGAGCCCGTTCTCCAGAGCCAGGGCACAGGCCACTAGGGCCAGGCCAGAGACAAAGGCTGCCAGCTTCATTGCTCTGGAACTAGGGATAAATGCTGATGAGAGACACAGAATACGCTCACTGCGCTGGACTATTGGCTTTTGCTGGACTGTGGCAAACTCTGCTTCTGCTGTCCTGAGGGGGATGCAGCGTTCTCTGGCTCACGGCTTCTTTTTGCTCTTTGTTAATTCTGGGCCACAAATGTGATGGGAAAAGACACATGACAGGGTGTGCAGACATGGGGGCGGGGTGTCTACCAGGGATGTGAAACTGCTCATAGGTTAATGTGCATGGTTACACACAGCCCTTCCTCTGTGCCCCCCCC